TGAATAATTGAATGTTTCATCTTCTTCGTCTCTTGTTATCTCCACTAAATCTAACAAATGATTTAAGAGATATTCATCGATCATATCTTTTTAAAGAAATTTTAAATTAGTTAAAAGTATACTGTAACTTTTAATGATAAATGTGGTTAAACTCTGGAATTTACCTAATTCAGTTTGTGACAAAGGTTGAACACTACAAATTTCAAAGAATAATTTTATTGTAATAAGTTGTAGTTCTCTTCCTAATAAATATGCAAAAAACATATTAGATTATATAAACTCTTTATCTATCTATGATAGCAACAATTACAATAGCTTCGGTTCTAACTTACCTCCTTCTTTTTAATGATAAATAACTTTTTTTAATTTATCAATAAAATTAAATGATTTTTTGTTAATAATCATTTTAAATATTTTAGAGTCTTCTTTTCCTGCCAAAAATAAAATGTTAAATATGATAAACAATTCCTTTGATGATGATGATATATTGTCATGTTTTAATGATTTATTTATTAATCGTTCCAATATTATTTCTGGAAACATTTGATACATTGGTGAATCCAATAATTTATAGTAACAACGTGTATAATCCATCTTGTTTTCTAGATATTTGTCTAAAAAAATTTTTAATCAATTAAGTTAGTTTAGTTAGATTTAAAAAAAAAATTTCAAGTTCTGCGCAAAACTTCTTGATGATTTACCTTGAAAATTAACAATAAAACTAATATATACATCAATAGAACTTTTTGCCAAGCTTTCATGCTCACCTTGAGTAAGAATATCATCTAATTCTAAGTAAAATGAATGAACGAATAATTGATTGATTGATTATCAATAAATCAATAAATCAAAGATTAAGTAATTGATTATAACAAGATTTTGATGATTGATTATGAATGTAATAAGAATGTAGATATCAATGGAATTAGAAAATACTAACTATCCCAAAATTGCTCAGAATTTTCTAAATGATAGATTATTCCATTCTCTATGTTTTTGTCCATTATTATTTATATTTATTGCTTTATGTATTAATTAAATTGGTCTTTCGACCTAATTGATTGCATGAAAATGTTATTAATATATTTCCGTAATTGTTATTATATATCAATATATTAAATACAACATTTCCAACTTATTGCAAATAAAAATAAAAAAATTTACTTGCATGTAGTACAGATAATT